CAACTCCCCCAAAACGAACACCCTGTCATGAAAGATAGTAGGTGAAAGATGGTTCCCAATGTGAAAGATGTTGACATGACATGTGACCTGGTGACCCCCCCCAGTGCTCGAGTCTGAGCCACGCCAGGCGGAGGATGCCGCCCGGTGCGGTGCCGCACTGGCGGCGTTGCCAGCGCCCGCAGGCGCGGTCTGAGAGGTAGCCCCGGCAGGAAATAGAGAGATGTGGGAGATGTGGGAAATAGAATGAAACATGATGAGTTTGAGGAGCCAAATCCTAGATGATGGGGCTCCATTTGCGGAGCCTGGTCCGAGCAAGAAGTGGAAATGACTTGGTGTGACTAGCTGTTGCATTCATTTTTGACCTCACCATCTCGAGCATCCAACATTAAGCTCGCAGGGTGAAGTGCCAGACTCCATTGAATTGGGACGGATTCTGACATTGGCGAAGGATGATGGACATATGATGTTATCTTTATTTTGTATGTGTGTATATCTATATAAGTTATATATATATATATATCTACAGTTATTCCCACCTTGATTTGGCATAAAGTAAGTATGCACTAGCTTCCGCTACAAGCTACAACAACTTTCAAGGATATCAGCTGAGATAAACAAAGAGCGAGAGAGAGAGAGAGAGAGTGTGTGCGTGGTTCCATGTATTTGTTTTAATGCAGCGAGGTGACTGAGTGTGTTTCTTGTGCTCAGGTCGTCATTTCCCCTTTTCAAAGAGAAAAATCCAATGCTGGCAGTGCCAGGACGACAGATCTTGCGAGCAGATGTGGCTGGGGCAGGGATCCCTGAATCCGGCATGGTGCTGTTGTCGGAAGTATCCTCTCAGAGTTTGGCCACATGATGAAGACATCAAGAATCACAAAACCATACAACACCCACTGATTTGTGGCACATCAAACCGCCCCAAACGGTCCCAACGGTCGTTTGAAGGATTGGGCCCCAGAGCTCCAATGTGGGTCCCACCCAATGGGTCGTCAACGTGCAGGCTCTTCTGGTTCCTAGTAAGGCCAGGAGCTACGTTCGTAGCATCCGATCGCTCGCGTCCTTGTTCCTAGTAGTAAGGCTCTGGATAGCTTGGGTGTGTTCGACCGACTTCCATGTCACGGCTGAGAACCGGCGCCACGTGCCGCCCAACGTGCTGCCCACAGCTCCGCTGTGCTCGAGGACCTTTGCGCTGGGATTCTGCATGCCCTTGGGGAAGCTGGGGAAGAACGTGCTGCACGGGGGCCTGTGACTTTCGGGAGCAAACTGATTGATGAATCTTGATGATTCAATAGCTCACCATCAAAACAGTTGTTGCGTGGACATCTTATTCCCTTGCACTTTTGGATCTTTTTGGAATTGTTTCAGCATATTCTCCTGCATGGCCTCGGACAGCACATTTGGACGTTGGCAAGGCATGATGAGGCGTCCATTCAATTTGAAGCAAGTGAATCAATGTAGACATTTGTGTATCAGGTACAAGAGCATTGGGGTATCCATGCCAAGCAATGTTCACAACGTGGTTTCTTTGCAAACCTAAAAAGTTGGTAATTAGTGGATTGAGTGTGCCAACATGTGCAAGCTTTTTCACTTGGTTGCTTTTGGGACCAGTGAACTGAGATCAATTGAGCAGTGGCCAAACCCCCCCAAGAGGTCAGAATACATGGATTTTCTGCATGTTCTGCAGCATTTTGAGCCTGGCAGTTTGAAGGGTTGGCATGTTGAGACGTACCGAGGCATCGGCGTTCGATCCACGGTCCTTAGCCTATGCGGTGGGCGCTTTGCTGGGCCGTTTCATCGAGACGCCCGGCCGAAGTTGGGAGTCACGACTGGACCCAAAGAACCATGTAGGACCCATTGCGGCAAGAGATTTAAGGAAAACGAGTCAGATTTGTTCATACAACCGTTATTCTTTGTGGCTGGATGTGGCTGATGTGTGGAGCCCTGTTGTAAGAAGGTAATTGAAAGATAACGAGCTCCTTTGTCCGCGTCACGAATCGCATGAGTGTCACCGATATCACCGGCACAGGAATGTTCCTTTCAACAAGGGTGTGAATGGCTTGGCCTTGGTACCCTTGCTTCATGGAAACCTCCCAAAGCTTGATACACTGCTTCAAACTGGATTGGAACTAACATGCAGCCAGCATGTCAGTCCTCTCGATCTTTTCCTCTCCACATGTGTCATTCTTCAAACATGATTTGGGACTCTGCAGCTGTGCACATGTGTCATTCTCCCCCCACCAAGTCCACGATCTGCCAACACGACCCTTTTTGCATCTTTTTGCAAAGTACAAGGTAATGTGAATCTATAGTCTATTGTAGTCTAGTTGTTGCTGAAGCGAGTATCCTCAGAGATGGGCCATTTTGAGGTGTTCAACGGAGTATCAGTGAACAGAAATATTATCAAATACGTCATTGCGAATTACCAAATCATTGATATTATTATACAATTAAACAAAGTCCCACCACACCCTAACGATTTCGCTACTGACCGGCCAAGACTTTCTGAGGAAAGCTGATGCCATGGAGCTAGATCAGAAGGTGCGAGCAAGGGAAATTGCTTGACGATGATGGGCCATCAAGCATGGATGCTAGCTTTGCAGTTCATGTGCGGCAATAGAAGGAGAAAAACACCATTGAATTTTGCTGTTTGTATTTCTCGTTGACACTCATGAAAGATTAACAGGAGTCTCAGGATTGAGGCTATATAATTTGGAGGTTGGGATATTGGATCAGATTGGCATGTGTTTGCTGCAGGCTTTCAATTTCGAAGGTCTCAAATATATGTAGGCCGTTTCTTTTCCCTCGGGGACTTGGGATGCAGCGAGCACCTCTGGGAGCACGGTGGCGACGTAACAGCTACGGGGAGGGCAGTGATTCATTCAACGCCCCGGGTCTCCAAAGCTTGGTTGATCAAGTAAGCTTGGAAATGGACAAGCACTTGTTTGTAGAGAAAAATGGTCATCCAAGGAGTCATTGTCCATTTCGATTTTGTTTGGGAAGGGGGTGCAACTAATCACATGTTTAGAGCGTCATTCACTGCAGATCCATCGATCCGCTTCGAACTGGGAGGTGTGGGACCTGAGCTTCGTGGACTTCCGAGCACATGTGCCTGTGTGCAGATTCTTGGACCAGGCCTGGGATGTTTTCATGGAGCCTCCGGTTGTGGAGGCCTAGTAGCCAGGTTCAAGCTATTTGGGGCTGAGTGCGGAAGAGAGAACGTCACCCAAAGGACCCAAATGTTGTATTCTTTGCTAATGACAGGTGTTGGTGAAGACTTCTTGTCAATTGCGAGCTGTTCCATCCGGTATTGTCGAGGTTTGTGGATGTTTGCGGCACTAGTAGCCAAGTACTGTAGGTAGAACATGAGAATTGTTAGGTGGTCTTTGCGTGTGACAGTATGTGTTTCTGTGTGATAGAGAAGGTAGTTGTGGTATGTTGTGATTGAGCATATGATGTGTACCGCAAAGTCAAGGATGTACGAACCTGTTCCCGGGTTTGCAAGGTCTCAGTGCTTGAATCTTGGTGCCGCTACCTGGACTTTGTGGGCTTTTGCGCAGGGGCCTTGGATGTTGGACAAAAAACTGATCCAACCAGTGGAAGGGGGTCCAACTTGACTTGCTACTGTATATAATGAAGTGGGCACAAGATCTAATCTTTTCAGCAGTTGCAACGCGCATGTCAGAAGGGTGTCAATGCCATCAAGTGCCCCTGCGATGTTCCAAGTCAAGCCCTTCACCGAGAAGGTGTGCTTGATTGTTGATAGTTGATAGGTTGTGCTCTTTGATACCAATTTCACTGGATAACCAAAACCAAAGGTGATGTTTTGTGCGTTCACCAGGATTGGCACAACACAAGAGCCTGGGAATTGCATCAATTCTGGAACAGACAGAACCAAATAGAGAAAATGAGGTATCCAACACTCAAAAAAAAAGCATAAAAAACTCTCGCTTTGGCAGTCAAATTAAACAACGATAATGATGTTTCGGACCTTGCTCAAAACCTCCTGCATGATTGTGGCATAGCAACACAGGATTTGGACACTTTGGAATGGATACCAGGACTGAAAACAAGAATCGGATCTATCATGATCTATCAAACACTTGTGATAGAACAAGTCGCCATGTTCAGCCATGTTCTACCTCAAGCCAATCCCTGCATTGGAACCTTCTTCCCCACGCGACATAGGTTCCAAACGCTACTAGGGGCTCCTGGCCTTACTACTAGGAGCAAGAAGCTACGAACGGGGCTCGCCTTACTACTAGTGTCCTTGCTCCTAGTAGCAATGCCCTTTGCTCCGTTCGTAGCTTCCTAGCCACTGCAACGCGACGGTCCAATCTCCCACCCAGGCGGGACACACCGTGGGCGCTGTGGGCAAGACCGGTGAAGGTGAGGGACCAGAGAGGAAGGGCCACCGAGTCGTCGATGGCAAAAAAACATGAGAAGAGCAGGTGGACTGGATCTCACCTCATGTCACCTCCCATATCCTCCCATGATTTTTGATCGTTTTGATGCTTTTGGAATGCATGTTGTCGTTTGCGCAGGTGCCCTTCGGCCTGGTCAAGCACCAGAGCGGCGCTTTTTGTCTCAATGGAGCTTTGAGAACAACACACACTCCACAGGCCTCGAGGAGAGCAGCGCCAAAAAAAGGGGATGGCAGTGCTTTGTTTGGAAGTTTGTACAGGTTGGAGCTGACAATGATAATAGTTGGTTGGATGGTTAACTGGAACTTCAGTATGAACATATATGAACATACTCAGACTCGTTTCTTCAAGTTTGTGCACCAGCAAGTTGCTTTCAATTGTGCACGAGTTCTTGAGGAGTTGCTGGAGCAAGCAACTGCTCAGGCGTCCTCTGAGGAGATTTCAGAGGCCTAGATTTGCGGATTCACTTCTCTTTGCAAAAGGAATCGCCAGATGACTAGCGGCGAGTTGGGTAGAAAAGCATCGAAAAGCACCCATTCCCATACTTTGGGCTTTTTGGGTACCTGAACCCTTTGAGCCATGCACGACATCATGCTTTATTTGAGCGTCCACGGTTCCACAGCCGCTTGGTGTCAGAAGCTGTTTCAGGCGCCCAGCTACTGGGGTGCTGGCCAAGAGCTCGGCGGCATGGAAGCAGCACTGATGGTGCTCGTGGTTTGTCCTAAGGACCCACACATCAAAGCGAAGATCCTGAAGAGGTCGGGTTGAATCGGTTTGCTTGCTTGGTGCTGAAGAACCTTCTACAGCTGATTGTTTGTTTTAAGATGTTTTAAGTAACATAATGTGAATAATTAAGCTGAGCTTAGTGTGTAAACGGGGTCAATCCCTCAGAAGGGCATAAAGACTCATTCAAGGTCCAGGTAGTGTCCACGTGATCCGTGGAACAGCCTGGAACATGATTTGGAGTGCCGCAATCCATCCGACTTGTCGGGTGAAACAGACCGACTGCAGGTTCTCGAACGGCATTGCTTGCAATGCCGTGAGTTGGATTGGAGTGCCTTCTCCGACTCCTGGCGGACGGCCTTGGACATCAAGCCACTCGGCCGGTAGAGAGTCGAGACACTCGATGGACCGGGGTCTCCACCGGGTCTGGCTGCCTTTGACCGGTGTTGCAGTTCTCTGTTTGAAGGGCGAGTTCTTTAGCATGGCATAGCAGGCCTGCCTTGGGGGTTGAAGCAGATTGGCACTGAGGCCAGGCTTGTTCTTACAACTGGCAGGGCTTGGAGTTGATACGTTGCGCTTGTTTCTTTGCCTGCCACCTGCGCGTTCCATTGAATTGGGCCTCACCTACCTCCATGGCCAAAGCAATCAGAGCTCACCTCAAGCGACATTGGCGGAAAAGGTCAGACAGAAGCTCCTGAGAGATTTGGCGTGTTCAGGTGTGGATCCATGCAGACCAAACATGATCAAATCTCTTTATATACTCAACATCTCTAAATCGGTGCATGTTAAATGTTAAAACATGTTTAAACCTGCAATCTCACGTTTTCCAAAAGCCACACTGCTCTACAACGGGCGACTCAAACAAACCGTCACCACAAAAACGGACTGTCGGCACCGTCCGCAGGCGACCTCTTGTCGCACGAAGAGCCCGGTGAGCTGGGCTCTCGTGTGGCGGCCGTGAAGTGGCTCCTCTTGACGATGCCTTCGGTACCGGCCCATTCCGACGCCGCGAAGCTGTGCCAACTCACGGAGGAGGGTAGGGAGCGGAGCAGTAGGGAGTTCCGAAAGGAGGATTATGGCTGTTTATGGCTAGTTGTTGATACAATATAATATCATATAATATCATATATATAATATAATATATATATATAGTATCATATAGTTGGATATATAGTTGGTGGAATTTGTATTGTATTGTGGCAGTTGATCAAAGAAATGTCCACCAAGCCCTGTTTGTAGGGTATAAGTGGAACAGACCGGGGTTTTCATTGGAGTTTGCCCCCGCTGGTCCCCACCCTCCAGGCAGCAATACAACAACTGGTGCAATCCAATGTGATGCTGTGCCCCAGAGGTCGTTCAGATTTGCTGATGAGAGTCGCTTCAATGCTGATTTCCTTGGATGGTATCGATGTGCTGAACTCTCAGCATGAGATTCGGCGCTTTCTGCTTGAGACAGACATTCCTCTTCAAAGACTCTTGCAGAAGCCTGCAAAGGTGGGCAGGGCCGTGGTGTCTTTGCTGTTTTGCCCCGATCATGCCGAGCAAGTAAAGAGACGCGAATTGGGGGTCGCCTTGGCCAGTAGCTTTGAGGAGATCTTGGGCTATGACATCTTAACTTGGGAGCTGAAATCAGGTGGAGAAGCTCATCGTTTGACACCTGCAGCACACGCGGCGCTCTTGGAATATGCCCCTAATCTGGACGTCGTTGAAGTGCTCCTGCGCAATCCCTTGTTATCAGCTATCTCAAAGCTCCTGAGTCTTGAGGGAGCCCAGTGCGCGGAAGGATTCCTTTGCGAGGTCTTAGAGAACTTGCAGAATTCAGACACCCTGGTCCTTACGATCTTAAAGCTTCTTTCCAGCAAGGAAGAGGAGATTGCAAAGGTCATGACACCACTGAGTACAAAGCTGAGAGCTGTGAACAGCAGCTTATTCTCCTCCAGCAGAAACCCCTTTTTGCCTGCCTTGTACTCAGCATTGCAGTCCGAGAGCTTGGGAAACTACCTGGCCATGGTGGCCCATGGAAGCCAGGCAGGACGACCTTTACAGCTTTCCCTGGACAGTTGCACTATGCTCCAGGACTTGTACATCCAGTACTTCCGCCAGGCCACAGAGATGACGACGAGTGGCATCGACTCCACGTATGCCATCCACCAGGCAATGCTGGATCACGCCTCTTGTGCCAGTCTCTTCACCAAGCTCAGTGAGATGAAGGATCCAAACCCCAAAGATTTGGCATTATTATGGTATTGCTGGAGGCAAAGTCCAGACCGACAGTTGCCTTTTTGGGCATTGCCCTCATCTCAGCTGGGCCCTTTGTTTGTCTTTGCTTTGAATACAGGCGGCCAGGGTTGGAAAAGGTTGGCTTCTTGTGGGTGTTCAAGCTATTACTGTAATTCCTAGTCTTACAGAATGTGGAGCCTTGTAGTCTTGCAATCAGTGAACAAACATTGTAGAACTCAACCAGCAAGGTGACTTGTTATGAGCTTCTGGTGACTAGGGCCCAGTCACCCGGCCTTGACCCCATTCGAGGCTTGCCTTTCGTGGAGCGTTGCAAACCCATGCGCTTTGGCCTATCAGTCTTAGCCAAATTCCTAGTTGCCCCTGAGACTTTGCCGTTGGGTGTTTACAACACCTTGGCAGAGAAGGCCCCTTGGGTGCACACTGGCAGTACAAGCGCCTCCATTCAAGTGCAGACCCTACTGCTCGGGCAAGAAGACCAGGATGGGGAAACGCAGATCAACACAGGGTCGTTCTTGTTTGAAGGTTGATGCGATTTGAATATATTTGTTTTATTTTTTTTAGTTAGTTGCCCGTTCATTCGAAGAGTGATTGAATCGGTTGATTTTCTCCTGCACCCGGGTCCAGGAAGAGTATCCACCATACTGTATCCGTTGGCATGCCCGTGCTGTGCCACCGCCTTTGCGTCATCAGCTCTTGCGGCGATGTCACCGCTCCGTGGTACCAGTGCTGGACACTGCAGCACATGATTTTTACCCACGGCTCAACTCCGGGATCTCGGAAGCAAACTTACGTTTTAACCTCGGCTTGATGCTTGCCCTGCGCTCCAACAACCCAGACCTGCAAGTCTACTTCGACCATGGGGCTGATCATCAAAGGCAGTTTGTCGCTGGTTGCATCCTCAGCTGGTTTAAGGCAGCTGGCATCTCCTATCATGATCTTTTGGAATGTGTCCGACCGGAAGATCAAGCTGACTTCACTTCTTTGTGGGAGGAGGTTCATGAGGCTTATCGCAGGACAGGTCCAGCCTCTCTTCGAAGGATGTATGTTCGAGGGCCCTTGCCCACAGACATTGATGTACGCTGGATCGACGAGGGGGCACGAGATGTACCTATCCTGGCGCGGACACGTGACTCCGCAGTGCTCACTGCTCAGTGGCTCAACATGCTCCTGCTACACTTCAAACTGTCCTCTCCAGAACCATTTGAGGCAGAGGACCTGGTGGTCGAAACGGCGTCAGGCCTTCAAGTGGGAAAGCGCTTAGATTCAGCTTTGGCCACCATTTCAGAGGCGGTTGGTTCTGCACTCAGACGTGACTTGAGTGCCAAGGAATCAGCACTGGTGATTGCCCTTGCCGATGGCAAATTTGACACTTTGCAGCTAGTGACTCGGGTCAGCGTTTTGGCAGACTTCGTCCTTCTACTTCGCACGAGCACAATGGCTGCAGAAACACCCATGAAGATCGGGCATTTCTTCGAGCAACTCATTCGTGCATTTGCCCACCAACAAGGTCCCGAACCGCCAGATGCACACATTGCAGCTTTGTTCGATGCCTTTTTCTTGCTCCATGGTCTTACTTCTGAGAATGAGGGCTTGGAAGTGGAGGCACTAGCCAAGGCATACCAGGCCTACAATTTGCCTGTGAGCGCTCAAACCATGGAGGAAGTCAGGTGGCTGCATGAGAACTACTATGGGCGGAAGGAAAAGACCTCCGGCATCAAATGCAGGCTGCCCCGCTTCGCCACCGTATGCGACCGAATTGCTACCATCCAGAGATTGGAATTGCGGAAGGTGACATTCCAGAGGCACTTGGAAAAAACACAGTTTGTGGGTGAGTTGTTTGCGAAGGATTTCGATGTCAACCCCCCCTATTTGCTCCAGAGCAACATGCAATTGCTTTGCTCTTTGCCACTGACTGTCCACAGAGAAGATTTGGGCGAACAGGATGAAGCTGTGCATGAAGTGCAGGCCACTCTCATGGTGAAAAGGTGAAAAGAGTGAAGGATAGGTACAAACCAAGGATATAATATATGTATACAAGCTTCACTTCCAACGGTTGGTTTAGATATATTTTAGGCCACAGCCAAGTGCCATGATTCTCAATTCTCTACGTTCAATCTTCTTCTTTTGCAAATGCATGCAAATGCTTGATTTCAACATGTGGAGGATCTAGTATGATGTAACAATTCATGACCATGACCAGGAAGCCATCTCCTTCTTCTGCGAGGTGGGCAGCGACCAAGCTGCAACATCCGCAGCTCGCAGCTACGGCGGCTTCAACGGCGGGCAGTGGGAGTGGCCCGATCTCGGTGCCGATTGGAAGGAGCCATGCCCAGTGATCTCCGCGGCCAATGTGGTGGAAATCGTCTCAGAGTCAGAAGCTGAGAGTATCCTTGGTGCACATTGACTGAGAGAAATAGCGAGCCATGGGGAGCCTGTCAGATGGTTTGAAGATGTTTGGATCAGCATGTCAATGAGCCACCTGAAGCCTGAAGTGAGGCAATCACAGTACCTACATGCCGCACTACGAGTTCGACCAGGGTGCTCTCCTGAGACATAGAGAATCGGAGAGATAATCGCATGCAGAGTGACCTATCACATGCTTTTTGCTTCAGAGGGTCTCCAGAGAAATGGATTGACATTTGTTGTAACTCTCAAGCATGAGTCACGCTCTACACGGCGGCTGGGGAGCTTGGTGAGACAAGGCTAGAGCCAGTTTTGTGGCACTCACCAAAGAGCTGTGGCTTCTACCGCCTGTCAGAGACTCAAGTTTCTTCCAGCAAACATAACTTTATACTGTAATACTTCGGAATGCTGGCAAACACGTGTTTGTGCATTTGTGTTTGGAGCTGGAAAGCGTTCGAACATGTCCGTGATAAGCCTGCAGAGCAGCCAGGAGCCAAGCTAGCAAAGCAAGGACGTTCGTTATTGGGGGCCTTAGATCAGTGGCAATATCCGGGGTTTGTCATGAAGTCCATCGCTTCTTGGTTGGAGATGTTGGAGGTCATCACTAGTAGGTTAGGTTGGAGGCCATCGCTATTAGGTTGAAGGCCATCACTACTACGAACCTCATCATTTCCAGACACAGCAGGACTGCAGAGGAAGAGGGAGAGGTGTGGAAGGCATTTGCAACCAACGCGGAGGTGCATCGCTCAAACTGCGCACAACCATTTGCATGGTATTCTCCAATTGTCGCTGCAATGCGCTGCTGTGGGAGGCATGGCAGTTCATTGATCGAGCACCTACTCCGGTCCTGGCAATGGATGGCTGTTATTTGCGAAAAGCCGAGGACTTGTCAGAGTCTCAGGATCTCTCCCAAGACAGTTTTGTCCCCGGACAAAACGGGCCGCCTTCAAACATCCGCCATCGTTAGTCTCCAGTTCGTCTCCAGTTGGTCAAATCCATGCAGTGCCGGTCCCAGTCGTGACTCCATTCGGTTACTCTTGGGGATCCCTTTCGGCTTTGTAAGGCCTTTCTGGTTTGATTTGGTTTGATCTCGCCCTCCCAAGAGAAGAGGTGAAAGGAAAACGCGCCGATTCAAAACGGAGTGGATGCGCCGATTCGGTCCAATCGCCTACGAAGCGCTTTTGACCGAGCGCGAAGCGGGGCCACGGACGGAAGCACTGGTTGGCAGGTCTTGGGTCATGGTCTTTCCAACGGCCAGAGATCCCTCAGAGCCACCGGTGACCCTGGCGGACCTCACGTTGAGGCACGAGGAGCGCCAGGTTTTTGTCACTGTGCTTCCTTCAGGAAGTCAGTGGCTCCAAACACGAAAGAACACAAAACACGTCGGTGCCACCTATATATTTATAGTTAATTATCTTTGCCAAATTTTGGTTGTAGATTGGTGCATGTAAATATGTGGCAGTATATTATATATATATAGGTTAGTGCGAGTGCGAGAAACATCCACCTGGCATCGGCTTCGAGAAACTTCAGTCTTGATACACGAGTCATGCGACCTGGCATCAGCCTCGCAACACATGATGCAAAGCAACCCAACCAGCGGCAACAATCAGCTGCAACATGATTCAACGGCTAAAGGCTTCAACAATCAGAAAAACACATCCGTGGAATCCTATTCTGGGTGTCCATGTTTAGTTTTCGGAAACGACATTTTGGCGGAAGTAAGAACATCCAAGATGTCGATGTGAGAGTGAAATGGGGAACGAGTTGGAGCCACCGGATACCAGGGGGTTGCGTCAGAGGGCATGCCCTTACTGTGGCTAGCCAACAAATCTCATTGAGCATGCTAAGGATGTTTGAAACGACGTTTGGTGTAGAGCAGACGACTCACAGCTGCGTCAACGACACAAAACGACTGCTGACTTCCAAGCGAGAAGACACACATCAGACATCGTTTCATAAGATTACAGCTACAGTCCCACTCCATTGCACATAGACATAGGGCGAATTGTGTTTTGCACTTTGATCGCTGAGATGTCCTGACAAAACCTCGCCAAGTGCAGGCCCCGACGATACCTTGTGCCTTGGTTGACTGAAGGTGTGGTGGACGTACCAGAAGGGCTAAAGGTTTCCACATAGGCGAAATGTGCAAAAGCATTCTTTGAGTAATTACATGTAATCACTGAGGAGCCGTGTGCAAAAAACGGATGACGGGTGTTCCTTGCAGTGTTACCGAAGGGGGTTGACCGAGTCATACTTCATGTTTCTCTTCATGTTAAGATGCCTTGAGTCGCTGCAGACGCGTTCCTTCTCTCCTTCACACCGACCAGCGGACCAGACAAGAGGGGCCGACCGGACGCGACTCCCGTGGCGCTTTCCGCGGCGCGGAAGCCTCGGCCCAGTTGTGGCCGCTTTGCCACTCGCACAAGCTGGTGAACCTCAGTTTCAGTGACTTCCTCAGCCGAATCCGCCGTCATCCGCGGAATCCCAAGCGTGTTCATGCCCCACTGACCGAGTTTGAGCACCATCTTCAGCCGTTCGTCGAAGTGATAGACGCATGGAACAGTATTATTCTGGATTGTTCTGGAGCATGTCAAGGTTGGCTATCCTAATGACCGGTATTTGGATCATTTCATATTCTGCTTATTTGTCACGATCCCGGAACAAAGGTCCCGAGGCCCTCCGAGTGGTGCATCTACTGGCCCTTCACTGAGAGGGATGCAGGCGAACTCTGGAAAGGCCATGAACTCTGGAAAGGTCTAAGGTGCCGATATGTTTGAAGCGTGGCTTCACTGTTGGTACCTCATTTTCAAGTAGATCATATGATTAGAATTGATTTGAAATGAAGCCTTCTTTCTTAGGGCCGGCCTTGCGAATCCATACCAAACACAACCCCCTCGCAGTTGCGGCAGATTTGTTTTTTGCGTTGATGGTTTTTGTCGGGATGATCCAATCCAGGGCACGTGGAATTGAGGTGACAGTTGCATGGCAGACGCTTGGCTCAACTTGAGTTATGTGACACCTGGCTGAAGCTGGAAATTCCAGACGTCCGTGGGTGGGTCTGATAAAAGCAGGCATATTCATGTTAGTTCATGCCTCTTCTCTTGATTCATGCACGGTTTGATGGATCTTCGCAATCCAAGGATGTGCCGCACCAAAGAATTCACCGATGGCCTGGCTCTGAGTATCCGAAAAGATGTTTGCCCAGGATACTGCAGGAAACGTGTCCAAAAGAGTTCACAACTGTGGACCTGTTGCATGAGTTCCAACGGTGGATCTCCCCAAAAATGAGAATTGATGGGCGGGCACAAGAAAGTTGGAAGCTATTCCCATCACTCACCAAAGACTCAAGCCGCTCTAGCCCTTTGCTTTGCAGACAGTTGCCTGCTTGTCATTTAGGCAGTTCAATCGACAAGGCCTTGACGCAGCTCAGTGGAATGTCCAACAAGGCCTTCCACACCATCAATCAAGGGACAGGTATGGACGGGTTGTAGAAGCCCACACAATACATGATCTAACTGAGCCAGGTGAGCAAAAACCACCGTCACACAGCACTGTAGATAAAGATACAAAATGGATGCATGCTGTCCGTGGGCAGTCCACTGATATCACTGATGTGCAGGTCGAGCAGCTTGTGTCGATGCAGGAGCTCGACCACATGTGCCATATGACGATGTAAGCTGAAGACTGCAAGTTCTTGTCAAAAAGACGTGCAAGGGGTCCTATTCTTGACATAAACTCATTGAGTGCGAGGTTTCCATGCGACACACTTTGGGGATCTTTGGGGTAGACTTGCTTTGCTTTGCATGCTGATACCCGGGACTGGCTAGCGGCTAAAGCAGATCATTTGTTCATGAACTGCAGCAGGACTTGCCCGAAAGCGATGAAGAATTGGTCGCTCAAGTTCGACTCTTGCTTTAAATTTGATGAAATGTCAAGCGCCAGGATGCGCCAGGCAGGCTTAACCTGTTCACTAACCATGTGATCGTTTTTGACAAGTCACTGAGGCATTCCCATTGGTCACTGGATTCTAACGGTGGAAGGGTGACACCATATTTTGGATTCTAGATGATACGAGTGAGCTCTTCATTCAGATGCATAGATGCCGAAACAACTTGCAAACCAACATTTTTCTCCAAGTGAGTGTCCATCTAAGGGCAGCTCCAGCAGTACCAGCAGAATGAGCTCGCATCCTAGTTGCGCAGGAACGTGTACAGGTATGCAGTTGGAGTTCCGGTTGTCCCGGAGTTTGTCTCAGGAACTAGAACTGCCAACCTCCCAGAATGAGTCTTTGGATCTCTGATCTAAGCGATTCTCCGTCTAGTCTCGCTTGGCCGAGCTTCCTTTTTGAAGTTCCAGTTCCGTCGATGTCCAGGCGCTTTCTGGCTGAAGTTTTGCTGCGAATCCTTTGGAAGATGAAGTCGCAACAACGCGGGGAAGCCATGCTGAAGAGACTGAAGACTGACCGAAGGCTGTGGCACTCCGAGCCAGAGCTGATGGGTCATGAGCCGTGCGAGCCAGGATCAAGCGTTTAGGTGGCATCAGCATTGTCAGAGCTATGGGCTCAACGAAAACGTGAAATGGCAAGATTGAAAACATGGTCAAATCTCAAGTCGTGAAGTCCAAAACATTGAATCACAAGCGTCAGGGATCATACATTTGAGACTGGTATTGAGATAGTGGAATTTGGCCGAGCCTGCTGAAGCCATGCCCACGTCATCGGACTGAAGCTGTTTGGATCTGCACAAAAAGTTCTATGCTCAGCCACAAACAAGCGAGAACCGTGGCAGTATTTGATACTCACTCATGATCCAAACTTATATACTCAATTATACTCATGCATCTAGAATCTACAACATAGCCGAATAGAAAAGTAAAATACATGTACTGAGTACTGAGAGGATAGAATTTCACTCAATCGTAGACTCGATCCAATTTCTGCCGCAATGACGCTTGCAGAGGGAGAGAACAGGTCTATCTCTGAGGTCTTTGATGGCCTCA